TATGTATGTATGTATGTATGTATGTATGTATGTATGTATGTATGTATGTATGTATGTATGTATGTATCTAGGTAGGTAGGTAGGTAGGTAGATCGAGAGAGAGAGAGAGACAGACAGACAGACAGACAGACAGACAGATATAGATAGATATAATGGTTCCTGACTTAACTGTATTGAGCCTTTCTATAAAGCTTCTGTTACTTTATGTAGATGAGACAGACAGACAGACAGATATAGATAGATATAATGGTTCCTGACTTAACTGTATTGAGCCTTTCTATAAAGCTTCTGTTACTTTATGTAGATGTTAATATAAATTGCCAGAAAATGTTTTCGGTAATTCACATCACACTTCTCTGATAATGTACTATTCCCTAATGCAGCTTCTTTTCCCAGTGTCAATAACACAGTTATTGAACTGTTCTTTAGAGAATAGTATACTTTCTTTTCAGAAGTGTGTGCCTGTGCATGTTTGTGGATATTTTTGAATGGGAAGTAACAAATGCTATCTAGACTTTGGCTATTGCTAACATTTGTGCTGGTATGGAATGTACTGAAAGCAGAATGCTTAAAACAGAATCTGTGATAAAATTATTTTCTACATCCCTGTCACAGATTTTCCAGCCACCTCATTGTTATATTACTCAATTGCTTTAAAGTGAATGCATGTAACATATAGATGATCCCCTACTCTTCTTTTACATGGCAGAGTAATCAGCTTATTCACAGCTTTGTGGGTTTATTTCCTCCTATTTGTTCTTTATTTGTTTTAAAATTGGATAGCAAAATAAAATAATCTACAGTGTAGTTTTCTGTCAGAACTGCAAATTTTATAAAAGCTGGTTGATTCTCCTCCCTTTACCTTTTATTTAATTATGAAACTATCTGCTGGGAAATGCCGGGTACCCTGTTCAACAACAATAAAGGTAGAATAAGGCAATAAATAAATAGTTCTATATATGGTTACGTCCATAATCAAATGGGATTTTACATACAGTATATTTCTTCAAGGTCTACTGGATGGGAAAATAAGGCCGTGTTTGTTCCAGTTTTAATACCTGACTATTATCAAATAGGGCTATAATAAATCTTTTAATAGGAAAGTTGCACAATATAATCTATTAATCTGTGGTCCTCTTGCCCCATTTTGCAGCCACTGAGTACTACTAATTCAGAGTGACAAAATGATTTTTTTTGTGTGGTTCGATTTTTAGTTAGTTTTTAAAGCCTCCAACTTGGCTGGGGTTTAGGTAGCTTTAATGCAACACTTTATTAAATATAGTAAACTGGAGAACCCAGTTTCATGGATTTTTTACTAAACTTAGTCTACTTTGCAATCGGTGGTCTCCAGAGGCAGAAAACCTATGACTTAAAAGTGAACCAGCACTAGCTTCAAAGAAGGTTGTTCAACCCTAGTAAAGATTGAACTAGATTCGTTATTATGGTAGTTTCTTATCCTCATTTTGGTTTGGGATTTGCTAATCAAGGTGATGCTCCTCCACCAAAGAAGATCAGTTCCTGGTTTCTCTCCAAGGGACAGGGTAAGACCCGTGATGAGACAGCTGACTATATTCCACATGACATATATGTGATTGGAACACAGGAAGACTCCTTGGGGGAAAAAGAATGGCAAGAGATTCTAAGGCATTCCTTACAGGAGATTACCAGTATCAGCTTCAAAGTGGTAAGAATTTTTATAAATGTTTCAAATTGTGGTTGGACACTAGACTTCATATTCTTCAAATTGCCTAGTTAGATAACATAACCTAACAAACACAGCCTGTTTTTAATACAGGTAGTCCTTGACTTACAATTGAGCCCAAAATTTATGTTGCTAAGTGAAACAGTTATTAAGGTAATTTTGCCCAATTTTATGAACGTACTTGCCACAGTTGGTAAGTGAATCACAGTTAGTGAATCATGATAATATGGTCGTTAAGTGAATCTGGCTTCATCATTGACTTTGCTTGTCAGAAGGATGCCAAACATGATTACATAGGCCCAGGACACTGCAACCATTATAAATATGAATCAGTTACTAAGCATTTGGATTTTGATCACTTGCAGTGATCATGAGTGTGAAAAATGGTCATAAATCACTTTTTTCACTGCTGTTGTAACTTTGAATGGTCACTAAATGAAATGTTGTAAGTCAAGGACTACCAATACACAAACAGCAAGATACTATACTATAGTATGATAAAATTGCTTTTATCATTCAGCTACGGTAGTTAAAACATCTCCATTATAATAGTGGGACTATGTAGTTAGATTCATTCAGTGGTGGGTTTCAAAAAATTTTAGAACCTCCTCTGTAGGTGTGGCCTGCTTTGTGGGAGTGGCTTGCTGGCCATGTGACCGGGTGGGAGTGGCTTGCCATTCATGTGACTGGGTGGGCATGGCCAACTTGTAAAATGGGGTGAAACTCACTTAACAATGCTCTTGCTTAACCAAAATGTTGGCTCAGAAACTCTGGCATTTGAAGCACGCAAGTCTTAAAGCTGTCAAGTTACAAGACCCTTGCACCCCTAACCCTTTAGAAAAAAACTCCCAGGGGTGTTCAAACTTGACAGCTTTAAGACTTGTGGACTTCAACTCCCAGAATTCCTCCTCTCGTTCTTCATCTTGATGACGTGCGGACAGGCGGGGGGAGGGAGCTGGAACCGGTTCTAAACAGCACTGTAGATTTGTGGAACCTCTTCTATAGAAGAGGTTAGAACTGGCAGGAACCCACCCCTGGATTCATTCCACCGTTCTTAAATGAAAAATATGTATAGAAAATATAGCGTTAACACCTCTTCAGCTTTCTGCTTCTGTTCAGTATATTGTTTCTGTATATAATTGGTTCTCATTAGAATTCTGATCATGACAACAATAAAACAAACTCAATATAAGTTATTGGAGAAGGGTTATATATAGGACTCCCTAGTTTTTATAGTTCAGATACCGAGATTTAATGGAGGTGTACGGCAGCTGATTTTTACTTTTTTTAAAAATTAGATAGCAACCCATACTCTCTGGAACATCAGGACTGTTGTACTGGCGAAACCCGAACATGAAAATCGCATAAGTCACCTCTGTGTGGATACTGTAAAGACTGGAATTGCAAACAGGCTGGGTAAGATTTGGGCAAACATCCAAAAATGCATTTTAAATTGCTATTTTTCAGATGTTGACTCTCCTATGCTATAAAATAAACTGGAACAAAGTTGCCTTTGTTTTATATATAGGTCTCTAGTTATTTACTAATGAAATTGCAAACAAATAAATGTTTATTCATTTATTCATTTTATAAGGTAAACCCATTTTACTCTCACTTGTCGTTAACAAATTCAACTTAAAAGCTAAAGTAAAACCTATAAAAACTACTAAAGAGTATACAAAGTGCCAAGGCCTACAAAAAGCAAGGTATCTCATTCAGTCATAAAGTCTGATATAACTAGATTTATGGCCTCAGCACCTGGAGGAAGAATCCTGTGTTTAAAGTCTTTCTAAAGACTAATGGAATTGGGGGGCCATCCAAATTGCAGGGGGAACACTGTTTTGGACAGCAGTTGCCATAACAAAGAAGATAGAATAAAGGGATCTGAAGCTTGCCCGAAGTATGCCAGATCTAATGGGATGAGCAGAGAAAATTGGAGATTGGTGATCCGCTGGATAATTACATGCCATGGAAGATTTTATAGGTGACAACCAGCACTCTGAATTGCACCCAGAAGCCTCTTGGGTCCAGTGCAGCTCATGGAGTTATGGTATTATATAGTTATTCTGCACTGTCCATCAAACTGCCTTTGTTGCTTTATTCCAAGCCTTATTCCTTTAGGAATAAACTCAATAGGAACATAGAGGTTTGCAAACAACCCACATATTGTGAACCAACTGTAATGATGGAAGGAGACCCCAAAGGCCATAACTACTTAATCTTGCTGGGGTTGTGCTGAAGCCTTACCTACAGCTTCTGAGTACCAAAAAAATCCCACCAACAGCATGACTTGGTTGATCAAGAACAAAGATGTATAATTATGTACCAGCAGCACTGATTATATTTTATACCATGAGGTCAGTTGATGATCTCACCTAGTGGTTTCATGCAGATGTTTAAGACAGCAGGAAGAGAACAGTCTAAGCCACTTTATAAAGAAGAGCCTAGGGCTAGAGCTTTCCCTACCACTATCACTAATGGAACCAACCTCAAAGTAGAAGAAAAATAACTGCATAATGGTACTTCCCATTCTCAATCCGCTAAATTGTTCTTAAAAGGCAATTTTAATAAAGATGAGGAAAATATTGGTTATCCCCATAAAAAATGGAAATAGATTTGGAATATCTTCATTAAATTGGGTCTTAAACAACTGAGCCTGTTCAGTTGGAAGTTATCATGAACGTACTTCTAAAACTATTTTATACTATAGGAAAAAATCCCAAAGTTCTATACAGTAATATCTTTTGTAATTCAGTCTTTAATGATAGAACAGCTCAAGCTCATAACACCATACCTTGGGATGCAAGGAATCTCATACTGATATAGAGTTCAATTTATCCTGCTGATCAGATTTCATTCACGGAAAATTCCATGGTTAGAAAACCTGTGGTTTTCCTTGTGTTTCTGTGAATAGAACCCATGAGGCTTTTAGACAAAACATATTGAAATAAATGTCGGGCCCCCAAGAGCTAAGAAAGACATGTAGAATTACTTCGGAACAGTTTCTTGTATTATTTCTCACCTATAGACAGAAATTTTGCAAAACTAAACAAGTATTTGCATAACTAAAGATATATTCTGAGAATTGCTAGGGCAGAACCGTCTTAACTCTCTGTCTCCCAACAAACTACCTAAACTTTTGTTGTCACTTTGCCTTCTGGAATGCAGCCCTACTTCCTGGGAATCCAGATTACATTCCACCACAACAGGATTTGGGGTTGATGTAAGTTAGCATTAGATTTTAAGGCTCACGAACTGCTCTATATTGTGAAGATGGCCCTAAACCAGGCAATTGAGCTATTCTGTCAATCTAAGCGTTCCCAGTTTTGATCAGTCCTCGTGATCTATCCATCACATTGTTTCTTCATATAACCTGATCATATAATCATAACTTTACTTTTTTTGCTTCCCAAAATCTAAAAAACATGGTGTGCTTCATTTTAAAATGTCTTATTTTAATTAAAAAAATTAACCAGATGCAGAAAAGAAAATTGAAACAGTAAAAAATGGAAATGAAAAAGCATAAAAGAAGAAATAGATACAAAAAGCTCAATCCTTAACTAGCAAGCTAAATGTTGAGTACAAGGGGAACTACTAATCAGACTCTCTACAACATTAGTAAAAAATAATAATTAATTAATTAATTTGCAAGTTTCCCATATATACCTTTTTACAACTATTCACCTCAATATGAAAATGAATGCAACTAAAATAGAAACTGTGCTTATGAAGATATTATTTGGATACAATTAAATACTAAAAAATCTGTTTATGGTTTCCATAGCAATTGGTGAGATATGCAATTGTTTCCTGAATTACAATTTCCCCTGGAACTCCATTGATGCCACTCTGATAGATTTTTTTCAGATGTATTTTTTTTTCTATGAAATATCTCTACCCAGTGTTTATAAAATAAATAATTGCTATATATCCATACAGTACATACATACATACCAGGGGTGGGCTGCTGCCAGTTTTACTACTGGTTTGCAACGCGCACGCATGCAGTATTCATTGTAAATTGTTCTTTGCACATGTGCAGAACAATTTATAGTGAACTGTGCACACACAGTCACTAGAAAAGAACATGGCAGCGGCCCAGCGGCAGCGAGGGAACTGGTTTGGGGGCATGGCAGGCCTTGGTCACTGCCGGTTCTGTGACCTAGGCCTCAATTCCACTACCGGTTCGGCCAAACAGGGCCGAACCAAGAGCAACCCACCTCTGATACATATACACACATACCTTATTTTTTGCACTATAAGACACACTGGAGTATAAGATGCATCATGATTTTAAAGAGGTAAATTTTAAAAAAAAGTTTTTACACTCTACAGGTTTCCCAAACCCTCTGTATGCCTTGTTTTATGCAAAAAAGGGGGGCATGCAAAGCTTTGGGAGGCTTTTAGAGTGCTCCTGGGGGCTGCCCCCCCAAACGAGCCAAAAATGGCCTATTTTTGCAAAAAATGGGCTGCTTTTTGCAAAAAAGGGGGGCTATGCGGAGGCTTTGGGAGGCTTGTAGAGTGCTCCTGGGGGCTAGGGGGGCAAAATCAAGCAAAAATGGTCCATTCTTTGCTCATGTTTGCCCTCCCAAGCCCCCAAGAGCACTTTGCAAGCTTCCCAAACCCTCTGCACATCCATTTTTGCAAAAGGGGCAGGGTTTCAGTAGGCCAAAAATGCTGTATTCTGTGTATAAGACGCACACAGATTTTCAACCTCTTTGGGGTGGGGGGAAGGTGAGTCTTATACTCTAAAAATATGGTACATACATATTACATAATATTTTCATTAGAAGAAAAACAGGACCCATTTGAAAGGACAGTAGATAATGTATAATGTATATGTGACCCAAGACATAATGGAGGGTGGGGGAAAATATACCCAACCAACCAAAAACATCATAGAAATCTACACTACTATTCATACTAAGATTTGGCTCATAGAAGTCCTGCCACAAATATTACAATCAACAACTGTCTCTTAGTTGAATGATAAATTATAAAATCGTGCATGCTTATACAGATATGATGGGAATCTAGGGATGCTTAGTATCTTTGCAGGTATATGTATCTTCGTATTACAGTTTACTTTCAGAAATAACTTGGCAAGGCAGTATGCTATGTTTTCAATTAAAATTAACATTATAAGGGATTCTTGGTCTATTTTCAAAACACTAATAGATTGACTGAGTTTTGTAGAGTGGAAAAGAGAGATTCAATTTTTGCTTTTTAGAAGGTTTTTGAGAAAACCGTCAGGAAGTTTCTGTTCCTCAGTTCTGCATCCTCAAAGAAGTGTTTTAGCTTAAGTAGCAAGAGGAAGGATTTATTTTTAAAACTGTTCTGTTTCTTCTTTTGTTTTCTCTTTCCAACAGGCAACAAAGGAGCTGTGGGGGTATCATTCATGTTTAATGGAACCTCCTTTGGGTTTGTGAACAGCCATTTGACTTCAGGAAGTGAGAAGAAACAGAGGTAAATTATTATTACCTTCCTAAGGGCCACCTGAGGCACCAGTTGCTTACTACAAGTACTACAGTAATTGCTTCCACTGAGTACAAATGGATAATCAGATTCAAAAAGCTAGAAGTGTGAAGCTTATCACTGTGAAGGCCAGGGCACTTCCTTTTTCCTCCTGTTGATGAATTTCTGAAGGCATTTTTTTTCAGAAAAGATAACTAGAAGATTCATCTCTAGGCATGAGAAATATGGAACCTTTCAGATGTTGCCCTAACCAATAGGATGAGTGGTATACAGGTAGTCTTTGACTTACGACCACAATTGAGCCCAAAATTTCTGTTGTTAAGTGAGTTTTGTACCATTGTATGACCTTTCTTGCCACAGTTGTTAAGTGAATCTGGCTTCCCCATTGACTTGGCTTGTCAAAAGGTCTGTTTTCCCAGAGGCTACCAATATCCTTTACTGAGAACTGAAGGATTTAGAGCAGGGGTGTCAAACTCAAGGCCCGCAGGCCGAATCTGGCCTGCAGGGTGCTTAGATCTGGCCCACAGTGCCTCTGCCAGCGAAAAGGGAGCTTGGGAGGTTGTGACGGCCTACTGCAACCCTCTGCCAGTGAAAACAAGTTCGTTTTTTGCTGGCAGAGTTTCAGGAGGCTGTCGCAGCCTCCCAAGCTCCGTTTTCATTGGCAGAGCACTCGGACCACCACAAGTGACGTTGAGCTGGCCGCACCCACCCCAGTCATGCCCACCCAGTCCCCAAGGTTAAACACAACCCTGATGCGACCCTCAATGAAATCGAGTTAGAGTAGCATTCTATGGATCCCACTACAAAAAATAGTAGATGGAAATAAAATACCTGCTTTATGTTACTTACATGAAAATCAAACATCTTCAATGATTACAGTACACTGCAACCAAGTGTTTAATATCTTTCCCCATCTGTCACAATTACTAAAAGCTTTGGAGCTTTGGAGACAGTCATAAGAAACTTATAAAAACTGATATAAAATTAAAAACTACAATTTAGTATCAGTTTTATACCGGTGGCTGCATCCACCCCTTCTTTAATTGTGCATCTTTCATTGGTTCTGTATCATCTCAGCAGGTGGTGCTGAGAAACAATACCTCTTTTGTTTTTTACTTCTCAATACTTTTTGAAATATGAATTCAGCATACTGAATGATGTTCATTTTTTAAAGTAAATATCCTTATAATGTCAAATCTCTCAGAGTCACTTAGGTGAGATGGGCAATGTAGAAAAGTGATGAATAAAATAGCATGATCTTTGGATTAGGAAACTCAGAGAGATTCCACTGTTGCAGATTTATTAAAATGTCTTTAGGAGGAAAATGCCATCTAAGTGGAATATCACAAAATTAGGTGATGAAATCTGAGCATGTTGGGTTATTAGAAGGATCTCAGCTGTGCTGTTAGATGTTGGTGCTATGTGACTGACACATACTTTACCCATCACATACAAGCTTCATAGGATAGGCAACTATATATTTCACAGCTAAGCAACCAAAATTATTTCTCCAAGATCACAGCACTGAAGATGATACCTCGGAAGTTTAAAAAATCTGCAGATGAAAACCATGATCAGAAAACCATCCAATAACTAAACCTGAGCTACATTTCTTCTCTCCCATTGCAAGACTGAACATGTTTAATATATTTACTATAATGTATTTGCGTCTGAAGTAATGAGGAGACCTGTGTTGATACAACAGGTTTATTCAGAACGTTAACCATAACAAGAATAGAACTTATGCTCTGACAGTTCTTTTATACTCCCAGCTGTCAGAGCGTTAACCAATAGGAACGTGCCAATTCTCCCACCTGAATGCAGCCATAAAATAGTCCAATCAACTAACACCATGCCTGATTGACAGAAGGGGGCGGGACACATCAGTACGTAACATTTACTAAGGATACAGACTACTGTGTTAAGGTGTAATCCAATTTGTCAGTTGGTAGACAGTATGCTGCATAAATTACCTTGCCCTTATTACCACCAATCTCTATTCTGCCTCAGTAATGAGATAATTTTAGTGTGCAACATAATGTGGGACTATGTTACATGAAAGCACATAGTTAGGTCAGATTTCTTGGTTTGGACACAAATGTGTTGGCTTAAGCTGGCTGTGCTGACAAAAGGCTGGCATTTGTAAAGAAACACATCTCAGGTGGACTTTGGGAGATGCCGCATTACATTATACCCCCATGCTGCTATTTTCTTCTCAAAACAGAATTTTATTCAAATAGCACCTTTGGTAAGAAATAACAATTTAGAACAACTCTTACCAACAACAGTAAAAAGACACAGACACAAACAAATTGAGTGGGAAAATCCTTTCCATGCACTGTGGTGTTCTCATCAGGCCCGGAGCACTGTGTAATTGTTCCTCCCCTTTTCTTTTCTTTTTTCTTGAAGAGTCAAAGATATGTTTTTAATACCAAATTAGAACATGTGCTACATATATAGACTCAAGAAACCATGTTTAAATATAGAACAGGTTTTCTTTTTCTTATCCACAGATATATTTATTATCTAAGTGCTATGATGGTGTAGTAGTTAGAACGCAGTATTGCAAGCTAACTCACTGCTCATGCCACGAGTTCGATCCTGAGCAGCTCAAAGTTGACTCAGCCTTCCATCCTTTCAAGGTCCATAAAATGAAGACCCAGATTATTGGGGACAATATCCTGACTCTGTAAACTGCTTAGAGAGGGTGGTAAAGTACTATGAAATGGTATATAAGTCTAAGTACTATTGCTATTAAATTTGTTTGTCACCCTCAGGTGACTCTGGGCAGTTTATAATATTAAAAAGAATAAAACAATACAAAAACACGTATATGATGAGAATAAAACACTACAAAAATACACTTTTTTCTTAACTTTGCTGAATTCAGTAATTTCAAAAATCATAGTCAAAACAGAGATGTAAACAAAGCTCTCAAACATTGACTAAATGAGAGATCTGTATGCAGTCCCTTATGCTTTTTTTTCTGGAGTAAGAAAGTCAGTGTGCCAAAGTTACTAAGTGGCATACCGTTCCCAGGCTCATATATAGGGAAAGAATATAGATCATTGAAATTGTAAAGTCTCTTCATCAAAGAAAATACTAGATGATTGTTTTGTTTTGTTTTGTTCTGTTTGTGTGTCCTTTTGATTTCTCTTCCAGGACCATTATATATCTTAATCATTTAGATTTGTATGTTACCTCTATAACTTTTTGGCTCTGTGGAATTGGAACTCGAATTAAATCTAGAAATCCAACTCATGTGCCTATATAAAGGAAAGCAGAAGAGCTGTGTTAAATCACCATAAGCTCCCTCCTTTCTATGGCCCAGTTTCAGCTTCCTTTCGCACTTCCACATTCCCATGGCAACACAAACTACAGGTCCTTCCTTCTGTCCACCTGGCATGTTCATTGCTTAAAGGATGGCCTGTACCGGGTTTGGTTCTGTATTAAAAGGGAGAAATGAAATTTGCCCTTGAACCTGTTTTAGCACAGCTACTCTGATGACCGAAAATAACTGGCTACTGTTCCTTTTCACAGGGAATGAAGTAACATGATGTGTATCACAAGCAGCTTTTATTACTTATTCACACAAGGAATGATCTACAGTCATAACTTGCTATTCCAGAATTTTACTGATTCAACTATTTAGAGATTTGGAAGTGTAGAAAAATAGTTTGACAAATGGATACACAATCCTTTTTGTGTTCAAATGTGAAGGTCTTTTAGACAAAAGAACCATTGTGGTACTTGAGCAGGATAAACCTCCTGTTTATCACATGATATTGACAGATGGATCAGAGGATTTTCTTTCTTTCTTGTAAGAAGAAAATTTTACCAATGTTTAAAAAACAACCACAGAAACATAGAAGAAAAAGTAGAAAAAAAGGAAAAGAATATAAAAGGAAGAAAAAGGAAGATATTTAAAGAAGTGATTTCCATTCTTTGCAGCAGTTAAAACATACTGTCCGTACCTCCTAATAAGAAAAGTGCCAATTCCATCTGAATATTAATTTTTAAAACACTCCGTATCATCATATGTATTTGTGTCCAGTAACTTGTTGCTTTTTCACATTACCAACAGTGATTATAAGTACCTTGGACATTTTCTCTGATGTCCTATATCAATGGTACAGCATTCTAAAAAAAGTTTTCTTTTAAATTGAACGACAATGTGAATTATTGTTCTTTTAAGCACATTGTCTCCCATTGATACATTTCAGTATTATAACCAACATGTTTGCCCATTTTACCATACATTACTTGCTCTTCATTTGAAATCATGGTTCTGAGAATTCTCAATGCATTTTTAACAACCAATTTTTGTCAAAATTATTTTGAGAATGTATTGTTTTATTGCAAAACAGCAATCAAATTTTCACAAGCAGGTGGAAAATTGAAGAGGGGAAATTCTGGCAATTTAATATCTTGTGTATTTGTGATGTGTGCACGTTTGTATTGGGACAGATCTGAAAGAACTGAGGACAGGGGGACAAGAGAAGAGAGCTTGAAATTAGTCCTCGATTTAACAACAGTTTGTTTAGTGACCATTCAAAGTTACAATGGCACTGAAAAAAGTGACTTACAATCTTTTTTCCACTATTGAAAATTGTGCATTAAATAGTGCTGAGGTCAGTTATCACAGATGCTAAAAGATAACTCAATTAAAAGCAACTCTTTCCTTGCAGGCTTCCCTATACATGATGCTCTCCAGATGTGTTGGATAACAATCCTACCATACGATTATACATATAGGGAGTGTCAGTTTAGGGGAAACAGTTGCATAAAAATAATTATTTGTACATTGTCTTGGTATAATTTGAGTATATATTTTAAAATATTCTGAGATTATCTAGTTTAACACTGTTTGTATAAACTGTCTTTATTGGTGGTTGTGGTCAGGATCTATGCAATTTAACCTATATTGAGCATCCTTTTCTTATTTTTATCAGGAGAAATCAGAACTACATGAGTATTCTTCGCTTTATGTCGGTGGGAGGCAAGAATTTGGGTCCATTTAACATCACTCATCGTTTTACTCATTTCTTCTGGCTGGGAGATCTGAATTATCGCTTAGAATTATCCCCAATGGTTAGAGAACCAAACTTAACATTTATGTAAAGTTATTTTAAAGTGTCCAGAATATTTATATTTATATCGCTTGCATTACTTTGATAATCCTTACTATTTAGCTGATCTGCAAATTAAGTTTCTATTAACTTCTCAGATATTGCAAATAAAAATCCGAGACTAAGAAAGTTCATAGTCTAAATGAGATTTGAACCAGAAATTTATTGCTCACAAATGTACTCTTATGAATCATATGGGAATATAATGTACATTTGTAGTTGCAAACATTGTCACTAAATTATTCCTACCAATATCTTGTTTTGTACATAAAAATGTTTTGTGCAAAATAAAAACTTCTCTGCATAGTAGTTAGGGTATATCAGTTTTGGTTTTCAGTAGAAATTAAATTTGCACTATATTAATTGGCAGTCTCTCTTATGAAAAAAAAAATGACTTGAATTTTTTAAAAACTGATAAAATATAGAATATTAAAAAGGAAATGTTTTAAAAAGAAAAAAGAAAGAAAAAGAAGAATTAAAAGTGTAAAAAGAACGGAAAACATATTGTATAAATCATGAAACCTTGTTATTTCATGTTCTACATTTTCAAGTGTAAAAACAGGAAAAAGTTCCTTAGTACAGAAACCCAGATGTTATCCAGCCTCTGTTTGGACATATTCAGTGAAGAAGTATATACTACTTCCTTACAGGGCATTCACTTCAAAGGATATACTGTACATACACATATATTCAATAGCCTCAAGCTGCTGCTGCTGCTGCTGCTGCTGCTGCTGCTGTTGTTGTTGTTGTTGTTATTATTATTATTATTATTATTATTATTATTATTATTATTATTAAACTGTGCATGCTGCCTGGTTCCTAGGGCCTTGGGTGGTTTACAATTTATTAAAAACATTTAGAAACAAGGAAACAACAAAAGCAAAAAGAGTAAAGATGATAGAAATTACATAAATAGATAGAAAGAGTGAGTTGAAAACACAAGAGCACACGTGTTGACTTTAATCACAACTGTGTAACAGATTCATTCCATAGACCCCTCAAAAAGCCTCAATCCATCTTTCTTTATTGGAATTTTGAGCAGTTAATATAAAAAGGACAGATTGCTCCGAAGGAAAGTAACTGAAGAATGCTGATTTATTGAGCTGTTTACACCATCCATGTAAAAAAGGATTTGTATCGTGTTGCTGTTTCCATTAATAACATAGCCATCCCTGTCCCTAAATCATAGTGAATTTCCGAGCATCAGACCCTCACAGGTCTTTTCCCCTGGGTGTTACAGTAAAGTTTATTCTGATTTAGCAATGGCATGGGATTCTGTCCTATAAATTATATGTTCTAGTTTTTAGCTATCAACAGATACAGAAGACTTGAGTAGAAACCAGAGCCACAATGCTTTGAAACAGTTTTGTTTTGTTTTAAAAAACACCTTTGTCTTCATTTTACTCTAATGTCTTCTTAACAATAATTTGGTTTAGTGCCTTCAAATAAAAGAAATGAAGGCAATATTTCCTTATGGTATTAAATAGCACTAAAACATTTTCAGAATGTTTTAGTGCTATTTTCAGAATTCAAGTATTAAGACTTAATCTTATATAAAAATTTTGTTTGACCTGAATACATTTTTGTACTAAGTTTAATTATATATAATTGAGCATTGATTAAACAAAACATGTAAGAAACATAAGGTTATCATTAATTATAACGCTTCCCTTCGTCTCAGGAAGCAGAAAATATCATTCAGAAAATCAAGCAGCAGCAGTATACAGAACTGCTTAATTTTGACCAGCTCCTCATTGAAAAGAAGGATCAGAAGGTATTTCTGCAGTTAGGTAAGATTGTTACTAGGTTCATTCATTAAGCCTTGAGTCAAATATCCTGAAAAATTAGTTGATAAGAGAGAGAAAATTGAAGGATTAATTGATCCATTATTGTCAGAGTAATTACTTGATATAAAAAATAGCATCATGTAATGTGACACCACAGACTGATGATTCATATTAAGCCATAGTTTCCCTTCTGAACCAAATTAGATGAATCATTGCACAAATGTAAACCCAATTATGCTTTATGTGATATATGAACCCAACATTTCTGTCTCTCTCATTGTCTCTCCTCTTTATGTAATGGCATAAAGAAAGTTGCTCCATATGGTGAGAGACTGCACACAAATAACTAAACATGTGCTAAAAACTGCTTTAGGAGACGATTAGAATGATCTGCATGAGGTTGCTGTAGTGATTTTTGATACCGAGTTAAAACAATAATCAGCCATCTGTCTATTTCAGAGGAGGAAGAAATAACATTTGCCCCAACCTATCGCTTTGAAAGAAACACTCGGGAGAATTATGTCTACACCAAGCAGAAAGCCACAGGGGTATGCCATAACTTCTAGCATATTGTAGCATTTCAATTGATAACTGTTGCCAGCACCATTTTCTCTTTTGATAGACATTGCAGTGAAGAAAATAAAATCAATGGCTTTTTGGCAACCTCCAGACAGAGAGATGTGTTCTTGATATTGAGTCGTCTTTTGTTTGCAGATGAAGTACAATTTGCCATCCTGGTGTGATCGAGTACTCTGGAAATCATATCCCTTGGTGCATGTGGTGTGCCAGTCTTATGGTGGGTAGATAACAGATTGAAAATAGCAGCAAAGCTGGCTTGAGCGGAAATGATTCAGAGCAGAATCTGTAGAATTGCCTTTCATTGCCAAGTTCTCAACAAGAGACATCCTATCTTTGATAAATGCTTTCTCCTTAAACTAAGATATGTGGGGGAAACAGAATAGGCTGTGAATAATTGTAGGAGAAATACATCATGTATTTGGGGAGGGGAGGGACACTGAAGTGGGGACACTGTGGGGACACTGAAACTAAGCTAGAAAAGGTTTTCAGTTGTAGCAATTATTTCTAGGATATTCTGTTTTCCTCAGTTAAAATTGTGAAGTAGCTGAGGTCTGATGTCCAAATGAAATTATATTCAAAGCACAGGTGTGTGTGTGTGTAATTATTTCTTTGGGAATTTTGGTTCCTGGTCAGATATGAGATTAGAAAGTCTATAGGTTATTCCTCATCAGCTCTTAATAACACATAAATATGTGTATGTATGTATATATCTATATGTGTGTGTGTATGTTTGTGTGTATACTGTGTGTGTATACTGTGTGTATATATGTGTGTGTGTGTGTGTGTTTTCGTAGATTTTCACGGGTGTAGGTATGCTGGATTGAGATTATCTTGGCAACGTTTTGGCGAGGTCTCACTCGCCATCTTCAAGCTGGTGTTTTCAGCTTGAGGTCTGATATCCGAAAACACCAGCCTGAGGATGGCGAGTGAGACCTCGCCGAAACGTTGCCAAGACAATCTCAATCTTACATAGGAAAAGATCTGAATACAACAAGACCAGCAGATATATGTATGTATGTATGTATGTATGTGTATGTATGTATGTATGTGTATATATACATATATACATATATACATATATACATACATACATACATACATACATACATACATACATACATACATACATACAAAGAGGATAAATTAATTTAAGTGTAATACTGAAAGACAACTCTAGGAAGATAATGCCAAAGAGAATATGCTGTACCTTTGACTCTTTTCAGCAAGTGGGAAAATTGTAGGAAAGGCAATACATGGGAGGATTCATATTATTTTTCAAGTAACCTAGTCCTAGTTGCTAGGGTCATGGGAGTTGTGTGCTTTTCTTCTATTGAGTTCTTTTCTCTTTCTTTCACTTGAAAATAGAAGCTTTGTTCTGTTAAGGATCAGTTAGGCCAAGTAATTATCATATTCTTTCCTCACTTAGAAAGTTAAGAATACAAACCTTAACTGTCTTTCCTATCATAGGATGCACAACTGACATCATGACAAGCGATCATAGTCCTGTTTTTGCTACATTTGAAGTTGCTGTCACATCTCAGTTTGTTTCTAAGAATGGTAAGCATCCCCCTCCCTTCTAAGTAAAAATGCAATTCTTTACACCATTGTTTTTATGTCTTTAACAATTTTGCAGAACGCTGTTATTGCCAAATTTAACATATGCCCTCTTTTCCTCAGACGATAAGTACACAGACTCTCTAGGACAGATTGAATTTCTCCATTGCAGTGCTGTCCTCAAGACAAAGTCTCAGACTAAATTTTACATTGAATTTTACTCCAGCTGCCTAGAAAGTAAGTGCTGTTTCTCATGTTGTTGTTATGTTATCTATAAATTTCATTGAAGACATTAATGGGAGAAATAAGGCTGTTCTAGATGATATACCATTCATGTTTTACTGAATATTTATATTAAGTATGAAATAATTTGCTACTTAAAAGCTTCTTGGTGTATCTTGTTTATATTGTCATTTCAAAGGCAAGAATCTTTGTTGCAGAAAATTTCTGGTCTTCATTATTGTTTTAGACAATATATTCTTATTTGTTTGCTTTTATTTTTTTACAAGCACTTTTATATTTCCAGACAAAAATCCAAAAGGATATTATAATACAATTTTGCTTATAACACAGACCAAGTGATGAAAGTGAAAGATTTAATATAAACATCTGAACATGTGATGTACTATATATACATACATACATACATACATACATACATACATACATACATACATACATACATACATACATATATCTTTTCCCATGTAAGATTGAGATTGTCTTGGCAATGTTTCGGCAAGGTCCCACTCACCATCTACAGGCTGGTGTTTTCGGTGTTTACAACACAAAAGAGCAACGGACGCACAGCCAGCACCTCAGGCAGACAGGATGATACGAAACAGCCGAAACAGCCGACCAATCTACAAACATCAACTCCATCTAGCAATCAGGAGGCAACTCCACAGCCAATCAACCCACTTACAGCAACAAAGCCAGCACTCCATACACACAAACCAAGATCTATAGAGAGACGGCAGCTCCGACCATGCTTTACTTGCACAAGCACTAAGCCAAAAACACCAGCCTGAAGATGGCGAGTGGGACCTTGCCGAAACGTTGCCAAGACAATCTCAATCTTACACGGGAAAAGACCCGAATATAACAAGACCAGAAGAGAGAGAGGGAGGGAGGGAGGGAGGGAGGGAGAGAGAGAGAGAGAGAGAGGGAGAGAGAGAGATGCTATAAAATTTATATTTGAAAGACGTTATCATTCATGTGGAACTTCTCCCAGGGACAAGGAACAAACCTCAGCTATATATGAAATAAATGCAAAATGTTCACCCTAGTCACAGATCTCTGCCTTTTGAGTGTATTTGTGACCTATTTAACCTACTTTTCTTCCATATTAAGTAAATCTTCTAAAAGGCCCTTTCCTATTCATAAATTGACTAATCCTTTGTGTTCACCAGTTTCCACATTAGATCTTCAAATTAACATGTCCTAGAATATCTGCAGAACTGTTCTGAGAGGAACACATAAGAAGCCATGTGTTTTGGATTGAGTTTTGAGGAAAAAATGATTCATTTTAAATGGTTACTATTTGATATTTGTTCATACATAAAATCACATACGGTATATTTACTTTACAATGGCTACAAAAATCACTATTTATGAGTATATTTTACATCTTTGAAATCCAAATTAAAGGGCTGAAGCTTAATATCATTATAAATTTGAAGCTTAACAGTAATTGTGATTTACAAAATCAAGAATTAATATGTACACGTAAGATCAAATTATTGTTCTGCAATGATTCTATAAACACAAATATACATTTGTGCTTAAGATTATCTTTCTAGATTCTTAATTCTGAGCTCCTTGTGTTTGAAATAATATATATCCAGAATGGGTTATTTATGTTGTGCTTTGTCAAAGGGCCAAAACTGCATGGCGGGGTGGGGTGGGGTGTTATCCCATTTCCATTATTTATATGCCGTGTAGTTCTGTTAACCATGTTCCACACAAAAAAGACTGTACAGAGATTTGCATATATTTCTATGGAAACCATGTGTTAAGGATCTTAAATTAGAATTTCAAGTGTGCTATCTTGAGTGGCGTAGGAAGACCTGTCATATTTTCCTTCTCTCCTCGTCCATACAAGTACTGAGTTTTCTAATGATTTTCTTAACCAGAATAAAATATTGAGAAGACAACCAATAAGTTCATATGCAACAGCACTTTGTAAACACTCATTTAGGATTATAAGCTGAAAGTTACAAGTGCTTTCCATTCTGCTGTTCACAAACAGAAATAATAATGAGTTTCCCTTTGCTGCCAAGTTTTGTTTATTATCGGTTTTTTTTTTTAAAGTTTTGCAAATGTCTATGGTATTGCTTGTGCTTTTTCAGCTGGCAACTAATTTTCTTTTCTAACACTTTTACAGGCTTTGTAAAGAGTCAAGAGGGAGAAAATGAGGAAGGAAACGAAGGGGAACTGGTGGTAAAATTTGTCGAAGCCCTTCCTAAGGTCAGTTGATGGGTTTTGTTTGAATGCAACTTACATAATAATTGATTTAATTTGTATACAATCAATGATGCAGATCAACCAGTGGATTTTATTCCCATCTCAGACCAATATCAGATTCATTGTAGTCTTTCAGATAGTCCTTAATAAAAGAGAATATATAAATGTTTTAGCGAGGTCTCACTCGCCATCTTCAGCCTGAAGATGGCGAGTGAGACCTTGCTGAAACGTTGCCAAGACAATCTCAATCTTACACTGGAAAAGACCCAAATACAACAAGACCAGCATACCTACACCCATGAAAATCTACGAAAACAAACAAACACACACACACACACACACAGAGACACACAGTGTGTGTGTATGTGTACATGTATATATGTATATATGTATGTGTATGTATGTATATATATGTATATATATACACACACATACACACACACATACAAACACACATAATATATATATATATATATATATA